TGTTTTCATGTTCTCCTCGTAGACTGGAAAAAAGACCTTCCATATCTGAGGAAACACCATTTTCAACTCCGCCTAAAATGCGCTTCTTTTTCTGCGTAAGCCTCCTGGCTAGAGAATCTATAGGCTTCGAGGAATCGTAAAATCCCAGACACACTGTGTTTGGTTTCATGCCTCCTAGTCCCGCTATTCTCACCAAATGTCGCATTCCCTCGACAACAGATGTTGCCATGGTAATCTCTACAAAAGCTTTGATCTTCATGCCATCTACCAAAGTCATCCAGGGTGTCTGCTCCTCGCCCAATGGGTCCGTGTCATGATCTTCCCAGCGCCCAACCTTCAAAATGAAATAGATAATGATTAGGACTCGAAAATCATCATTTTGGTACATTAAAAATATAAACGTAGCTTATTTTGGTATACAATTTATATATACTTGCCAACTTTTTATTGAAATTTCCATGGGGGAGATATTGCATGGTCAAAATTAAATACATTAATAAAATGTGTATGTGAACCCCTAGAGACAAAATAACACATTAAAATGGCATCTTTTGAAGTATTCTTTCAGATGAAATCATCAGGTCTTAGAACATAGGAATAGTTTAACAGATTTACTGATTGAAAAAGCTCAACTGTGGGGTTAAAAATTTGGGAGTCTCCCTCCAAAATAAAGAGAGTTGGCAAGTATGTACAAACAGTAGAGCTAGCTGTCACAATATATTGAAACACTGGTTTATTGCAATACACAGGCATATCGTATAGTATCACAATATACTAATGAAATATTATTGTATTGCAATATTTTTCAAAAGCTTAATTTTTATGCATTATGCTAGGTAAAACACCTAGCATAATGCATAAAAATTATGCCTTAACAAAATACAACATATTCTAACAGATTTGCATATCGTATAGTATCATAATATACTAATGAAATATTGTTGTATTTTAATATTTTTCAATTCATTTGTATGCCTTATGCTAGGTGTTTTTGCCTTTAGAAAATACAACACATTCTAACAGATTTGCCCATATCCATACACAGGTTATAGTAGTGGGAATCTGTTTAAATTTCATAACTGATGGTTGTGTAACAACAATTCTCAGTCCTTTGTGATCCATATGATAAAAGATTCAGTCTGATATCATGCTGACAAGGATAATATATCAGGATGCTGATTGCAACACATTCCTTTTGCAGTTCAATATATATTGTGATGTACTCCAGGCGTATTCTGACACCCCTACCAAACAGTATTTAGGTTTTATTGACAGAACCAAGCTTAGTGTATAATATTGAATATCATTCCACTTCCTAGAGTCTTGTTATGCCTTTTGTTTAACCCTTTCACCACTGTAGACCATAAATGGACTCCTCCAGATCAATGCATGGTAGAGCCTACTAAAGATACATAAGGGGTTAAAGGGTTAAGCAAGTGTATTACTGTTTAAACTTCCTCCCTTCACCCATAAAATTTACTTTCATGCAGTGTTTATATCATCCCTCATGTTATATTACTATGTATATTATGTTGTCATCTTATATTCGCTGTAATAATAAATTCATCCTCATCACAAAAAAGGCAAAAGTTAAACTGCAGCAAAAAATTCCTGGTATACAGTATAAGCTGACATACTTATACTGTAATTTAATATCTGGTCATTAAAAGACACCAATGAGTAGCAATACTTGAATTAATAAAAAAATTAAAAATATTATATTTGAAGAAGTAAACGTAAAAACACCACGATGTAGTACTATAATTGTCTATAACATGTAATAATATGGTGATTCTATATTTAGCAGCTTAGCTATCATAGTGTGGTAAGTGTTTTTGTATGAACATAAAAACTTAAGGATCCCGTACCACTGCCAAAAACAGTAACTATAGACTGGAAACTGTTTTTGCTGGCAGAACTAGCTATTACAAGTATGTTCATCAATCATTGTAGAAAAGAAAACCATACCTTGCAAGACTTTTATGAGAAATAATCTAAAGATGAAATAAACAAAATATAATCCACAATGGTGTTGGTTCTGAGCGTAAAATTCAGCGGTCTATAGACCGGGACACGAACCTTGGCCTGCAGATTGCTATATATACTATCACTTTAACCGTTTGAAGTACCTGGTCTACGAAATTGTCCTGGCCCAACTCTGCTGCAGTCATAACCAAACGGACGTTAAGGGGAGGTAACTGTAGGATAGACCAGTCCAGTGGGACAGGGATCTTTAATAAAATAACTGCGTAAATCAGTATATTTTACAAAAAAAATATTCACAAAGGATAAAAAACACCTTTATTCTTTACAACGGTCAATGCATTGTTTACAAACCTTAACGTGACCAAGGACATAGAGCCCTCCTTTCTTGATGTCGTTGATGAAGTCGATGAGTTCACAGGATTGTCGAGGCTGTGCCACCATGAGGATGATCTGCGGACGCCAGTACTTCACATGACCCTTCCTAGGGTCTAACATCAATAGGTACTTCCTGACCTGTAGCGAAGCACGACAAAGTGTCAAGTAGGGGACATTATTTATACAGGACATTATTTATCCATGTTTCGTGATGTAATGGGCCTTTCAAATCTGACACCAACTGCCTCAGCAAAATTCACCTATCAATATTGGATATAGAAGGTTCCAAAGCAAGTGCTTGTTGGTTATCATGTTTATCTAACTCAAGTTGGTTAAATTTCAAATGGTATAAAGTCACATGATTGCAACGTGTCTTTCCACAATTCGAAAACTAACTAATGTATGTAGGAGTCGGGTAAAAATGAAAACCAGACATCACAAGTTTGGGGACCTTTTTCACCCATGAACTTCATATTATATCTATAAATCCCATTTGTCTTGGAAATACTTGATTCCTTTTTCTCATCGAAAAAACATTTACCATGAATTCTGACATCACAATAGAAGATGCTAGCACAAACACTGATTTGTGACATCACAATTAACAAATGGCCCACCAGTGTGACCCAGAAAAAATATTTATAAAACCTAGCAGATTTATCCAATGAGTCGGAAGTACGAGCCTGTAGCAATTGAGTGAGAAATATATTTCTGTATTCTAGGTTTCTGGAACATTTTAAAACATTAAACAAGTCTATTTGTATTTAACCCTTTCACCACTGTAGACCATAATGGACTCATCCAGATCAATGCATGGTAGAGTCTTCTAAAGTTGCATAGGGGTGAAAGGGTTAATCATAATTATTATCCCCATTGTGAAGACACCCAATAGAGCTTGGGAGTGTAAGCTTGTAAAAATAGAGGGCCTGGCTGATGAAACCCCCCTATAAGGTCAAAGTGCCGAAGGCATCACCTGTTGGAATATATGGAGGCCTAGCTTTGGGACACAACTGCAAGAGTAGCAAAAGCAGGGAGTGGAAGTGGAGTGTAACCTTGTGGAATATAAGAGCCTGGCTGATAGAGCCCCACTGAGTGGTTAGGGAGTGGAAGTGGAGTGTTACCAGGTGGAATATAAGAGCCTGACTGATGGAGCCCCACTGAGTAGGTAGGGAGTGGAGGTGGAGTGTTACCTGGTGGAATATAAGAGCCTGGCTGATGGAGCCCCACTGTGTTGGTAGGGAGTGGAGGTGGAGTGTTACCTGGTGGAATATAAGAGCCTGGCTGATGGAGCCCCACTGTGTGGGTAGGGAGTGGAAGTGGAGTGTTACCTGGTGGAATATAAGAGCCTGGCTGATGGAGCCCCACTGTGTTGGTAGGGAGTGGAGGTGGAGTGTTACCTGGTGGAATATAAGAGCCTGGCTGATGGAGCCCCACTGTGTGGGTAGGGAGCGGAAGTGAAGTGTAACCTTGTGGAATATAAGAGCCTGGTTGATAGAGCCCCACTGAGTAGGTAGGGAGTGGAGGTGGAGTGTTACCTGGGGGAATATAAGAGCCTGGCAGATGGAGCCCCACTGAGTAGGTAGGGAGCGGAAGTGGAGTGTTACCTGGTGGAATATTAGAGCCTGGCTGATGGAGCCCCACTGTGTTGGTAGGGAGGGGAGGGGGAGTGTTACCTGGGGGAATATAAGAGCCTGGCAGATGGAGCCCCACTGAGTAGGTAGGGAGCGGAAGTGGAGCGTTACCTGGTGGCATATAAGAGCCTGGCTGATGGAGCCCCCCTGAGTGGTTAGGGAGTGGAAGTGGGTCGTTATACCTGGTGGAATATAAGATCCTGGCTGATGGAGCCCCACTGAGTAGGTAGGGAGCGGAAGTGAAGTGTTACCTGGAGGAATATAAGAGCCTGGCTGATGGAGCACCACTGTGTTGGTAGGTAGTGGAGGTGGAGTGTTACCTGGTGGAATATAATAGCCTGGCTGATGGAGCCCCACTGAGTAGGTAGGGAGCGGAAGTGGAGTGTTACCTGGTGGAATATAATAGCCTGGCTGATGGAGCCCCACTGAGTGGTTAGGGAGTGGAAGTGGATCGTTATACCTGGTGGAATATAAGAGCCTGGCTGATGGAGCCCCACTGAGTAGGTAGGGAGCGGAAGTGGAGTGTTACCTGGTGGAATATAAGAGCCTGGCTGATAGAGCTCCACTGTGTGTAGGGAGTGGAAGTGGAGTGTTACCTGGTGGAATATAAGAGCCTGGCTGATGGAGCCCCACTGAGTAGGTAGGGAGCGGAAGTGAAGTGTTACCTGGTGGAACATAAGAGCCTGGCTGATAGAGCTCCACTGTGTGGGTAGGGAGTGGAAGTGGAATGTTACCTGGTGGAATAAAAGAGCCTGGCTGATGGAGCCCCACTGAGTAGGTAGGGAGCGGAAGTGAAGTGTTACCTGGTGGAATATAACAGCCTGGCTGATAGAGCTCCACTGTGTGTAGGGAGTGGAGGTGGAGTGTTACCTGGTGGAATATAAGAGCCTGGCTGAAAGAGCTCCACTGTGTGTAGGGAGTGGAAGTGGAGTGTTCCCTGGTGGAATATAAGAGCCTGGCTGATAGAGCCCCACTGAGTGGTTAGGGAGTGGAAGTGGATCGTTATACCTGGTGGTATATAAGAGCCTGGCTGATGGAGCCCCACTGAGTAGGTAGGGAACGGAAGTGAAGTAAAATTGTCAACAGCAACATGATGATGATGGCCACGGAGGTGTATATAGGGCTGATCAGGAAACACATCACCATTGAACCCAACAGTCCGGCTCCACAGGTGTACCAGGTGAAGTATTTAAAAGATGGCCTGGGAAAGAAGAAAAAAAGGTAAAACTGAATATCACATTATTAGAATTTAAAGTAACACACAACAGGATTTGGAATAAGTGGTAAAGAGACTTGCAAAATATTATGGGGGGGGGGGGATAAATTAACAAATTTTATGTTTAAAAAAAATTGGAATACCAAAGTTTTTCTGAATTATTTACTTAAATTTTTTTTATTTTGAGAGAATATGGGTTCTATGCAACACAGTTAACAAATGAGTACAGTGTTATATACACATAGGCATTTTTTAGAGGTAAAAACCATGGTAATTAGGCTATGACTGTTAAAATTTGACCCATAAAGCATTTAGAATGATAGGCACTTGATTTCAGTTTCAACTTTATGGAGGGTGCAACAAAAATGAAACAAATTTTTATGGATCCTTTTTAATTTTAGATTATGAGACAAAAGGATGCACACATACCTAAAATTTGGAGCAGACGCCAGTTCCAGGGCCAAACATGCCAGGTTGACACCAGCGTAAGACAAGAGGAAGAATACAGACGCAGCCGGAGCAATCGCATTGAGTGATCCCACCAACAACACCGCCTGTCAGGAGTCGAAATATGGAAAATATAGCATTAGAATTTAAATATTAAACAATGATGAATGGAATGATGTCTTTTTTTTTATTTACTTGAACAATTTCTGTTTAATTAATTTAAACCAATGAGGCAAACATTCAGACTAAAAACACAGTGTCCATTCATCAATTGTATGTGGTTTGCAAACCTTGTGTGTAAAGTTGCCTCCCTTGCTATGTCAGGAGATGTTTCAATTCATACCAAAAGAAGTCTTACATTTATAGACAGCTAGAATGTGTTTACTACACGGGCAATTTTCCATCGCATGAATTGACATGAAATTAATATAAATCATAAATGAATTCATCTTCATGTTGCTTCAGGATGTTTACTTAGACCATTAGAGATTTACAATTCAATTCCGACATTATCTTAATACCTTGGATTTTTTTCAATAGACAAATTTTCCATGATGCTTCAGACTTTTAAATCGTCCATGATAAGTCTTAAAATTAGGAATTTACACACCAAAGACAAGTCTTTTCCATATCGATTTCTTATAGCCCTACTGAAATTTTCATAGACTAGCCCCATACCAAGAAAATGTTACCGACATATTTAGTGCTTGATATCATGAAATTAAGAAAACATGTATAATGTTAAAGGAAGAATTAACTCAATAGTGAACTTTCCCTTCACCACTAGATATATCACGGAATCATGCACATCTGATCAGGAATTAATTTCTATTAGACGATTCGGTCTATGACGTAAATGATTCCCATAGACCTATATATATTGTTTTTCATAGTGATTGTCAACGGGTTAAGTTTAAACACTGCCATTATATATACCTGTACAAGGATCCAGGACATTAGGACTGCCACGTAAGGGTTACCTCCCTTTGTAGTTATTGTTGCAGGTTTCAGGAAAATACCTATTTGATAAATAAATGACCCTTTTATCATATCATCAGGTGGCTATTAATCCAAAACACTTAAATACATAGTGAAATGTAGAAATTGTTTCATTTTTCTTTATTTTTTTGTAACAATACATGTTATTTACAAAGTCGGGTGAATTATAATGACAAAAGCTTGATATTATTCACATTCCATCTGACTGAAAAACTTGATGAAATTCGTTAAATATTTCTCTCTCACTCCTTTTTATTTCTCTTTCATCTTGAGAGAAAAAATTACCCCATCATCCCCCATGTCCATATGTACTGGAAAATTCTATCTGACCCACGTGCACAGGTCTGGATTATTATTGTGACCTTATTGTCAGAAATCAGCTAACAGAAAAATATCATCTGTCCCTCTACATAACATTGAATTTCCTAATATCTAAATATAGATATTTTCACCTTTTCGGTTGTAATGGCAGGTAAGAAATACAACCATTACCAAGTAATAAGGTTAGATCAGGGCTCGTATTCATGAAACCGTTCCCATTCTTGATCAAGCATGGATTCTGTGCTCAAACCAGCTTTCTTGTAACTCACTTAAATCATGTCAAACAATCAAAAAGTCAATTGTAAATATTGAAAACAATACTCGGCTTTAAGTCTCTTCAACTTTTTTTCCAAATCATTGACAAAATTCAGATTTTTTTGATAAATTTCTAACTAAAACAAGAAACTAGCTTGAATACAAAAAACCATGCTTGAGTATGAGAATGGTTTCATGATTACGAGCCAGATGATTCAAATTCTAGAGAAAAAATATCAAAGAAAACCATTGTTAAACTTAGGGTTCTCTTTGATATTACAATATCCCTGGGGCTTGAAACTCCTTATAAATACCACCTCATTCCTGGGAAGGTTTCTATTGGTCTACTTTTGTTGTATAGTAACAGTCAATACATAGTTATCACCCTAAGAATAACAATTCATGGTTCTATGTATTTTTGAAAACACAATGTGAAAATGTGCATCAAGAAGACAGAAGTATTGCCAGATCCCGTTACGTACCAAACAGCTGGTCGTTTGCCAGGGCTTCAAGGATCCTTGAGGCACCAATCAGGTTACCGAGGGCAGCAGACAGGGTCGCAGCAAATAAACCAATCAAGATGAATGGTGCCCAAAGGTTTATGTCCTGTAGGAAGTTGTAGTTATTTACCAGGAGGAATCTACAAAGAAACACATCCCCACATTTTATTTAGATATATGTAAATGTACATGTTTTTGTATACATTCAAACATGCTGCACTAGACTGCTTGTAAAAACCAAAAGATGGAAAGTAGGTCATTAAGTAGCAGAAATTATATGACATCCGATATATTTTGGAGGATTCGACTGCTGTTTTTTAGGATATTTTGGATGTGGTTATATTTTGGATTTATTTGGCGCTTTGGAGTAAATCAGCCAGAATTAATCACACCAAAATTTCACGATTCCAAGGTAAATCGTCGCAAGATCCTGATATCAGCAGACCATCTTCCAGTTCATTTATTTTGCATCAAGGACTAACTTTTGTTGGCTAAATCTTTTTCATGTAAGAAAGTCAATAATTGTATAATGTAGACTGGTTATCCGGTGAATACTTTCTTAATATAGCCTACAGTCGAATCTGCTCAAGCGACCATCTGTATTAAATGACCATCTGTTTTATGCAACCACTTTTCATTCCTCCCGACCGTTTTTACTATGCAATCTGACTTTATTAAGCGACCATCTGTCTTACTGATAATATCTTCGAAAGCTACAATGCCAAATTGTTGGATTCAACCCTGGCTAAATTGTACACGGAGGCTCGTTCCAGAACTATACAAAATCTTATTGTTGAAGCATATAATAAAACAGTTATGGGCTTTTGTGCTGGTGAACATGATGCGATATGAACCTAAAAAAGTGATAGTGACTTCAGCTTTGCCTCGGTCAATATCTTCATCTTCATCTTTTCTACTTCCTCCGTCTATATCGACGATTACGGAAGTCGGTCTTGTGCTGTTGTGCGTTAATTATTATGTACAGTGATTTTTTTTTTGATTTTTGTTATTTGCTATAGGATAAAAACAGGTTAAAAGCAGTGAGTGAGTGTTAGTTATGTTGTAGGTTTTGTATATGTTCGATTATGTGGTGCATGTCCTGAATTATGCTAGTGTTTCCGATTGGATTATTGTTTTGGGTGGGAGGTTCCACTGTATTATGGTGTATGGAAAGAATGAGTGTCTGTATGTGTCTTTGGATGTGTAGATATGTCTCTGTAACTAAGGTCGTGTCCTTGACGTGTTCTGGTATCTGCCGGGGTGGCAGTAGAGAAGAATAATGAGTGTTCCTGTTCTGGTGTCTGCCGGGATGAGATTGTTGGTGTGTATATATTGCTACTTGTTGGTGTATTATTTTGTAGAGAAGAATAATGCGTGTTCTTGTTCTGCGTGTGTGTAGTGTTGGCCATTTCAAGTTGTGTATCATGTCTGTGACTAAGCTTGTGTTATGGTATTTGTTTAGGACATATCGTGCTGCTCTCCGTTGTACTTTTTCTAATTGGTTTATGTTATTTGTATAATGTGGGTCCCAAACTGAAGATCAGTATTGAAGTTTTGGTCTTACAATGGCCTTGTATGCATGTTCTTTACTTTTTCAGGTTCATATCACCTTATATTCATCAGCACAAAAGTCCATAACTGTTTAATGCTATCTATGTAAACACCTGGGGCTGATATCTAACCTGACATATTGGCGCCGTTAAGGATCCCTGTCACGCTGCTGAACAGGATGGCAAACACAGATGCGAAATCCATCTTCTTGCATGTGTTATAATCCTTGGTGTAACTGCCTAGGAAACAAACACGATAGAAACAGTTAAACTTTGGACTGCTCACCAAGGAACAAATTTACTGTCAGTGAAATTTGAGATTCTTTTCCACGAACAGAAGCATGCATGTATTTATTACATTTTCAGCAGTAAAATATCAGAAATTATCAATATGATAAAAACTCACATTAGAGGATGCAGATTTTTCCTTTGTCCTCATTGGTTGGATAATAAATCTGATTCGTTATTTTGATTAAGTCTTTCAGAAACAGGTAAATTTTCACTTTATGATGTCATTTGTACGACATTAGTAATCACGATACACTGATGCAAATCTCAAAATACATTAGGGTCATCACCTTTAATTTTACCTTCATCTGATGCAAGACCATTCAAGTAGGAATAACAGTACCCCAGATACAAGTAATCAATGCACTGTCAATCTATACCTATACATACTTGCCAACTCTCCCTATTATGGAGGTAAACTCCCAATTTTGGACCTTATAAACTTTATCTATTTTACAACAATTATGAAACAAGTTATTTTAACTTATATTCATCGCTCTTGTTGGCCTGGGTATTAGCACGCGGGGAGTCTTAATGTGGGAGGAAACTGGGAGTACCTAGAGAAAACCCAGATGGTCGGGCAGGTGACCCCATACCTTTTCACGTCCGATCGGGGAATCAAACCCCAGCTGCAACGTAAAACTCTATGAATAACAGCCCTAGATATATTTTTACAACTTTAAATAACACAAGTCACTTACTGAGTAGGTTTTTGTGGAAGTATCCGATGACAACCCTGTGTACATTCCTGTGATGTTTTGGTCGGTGGAATTCATCACCAGACATTTCGTATTTGGAATTTTCACCTATTTTTTATTTTGGCAAATATACTGACGAATACTGACAGGGTACATAGTATCACCAACTGAAAGAAAAAAAATCAGTTAAATATACTGATGTCGGTGAATTTTTTTGCCTAGTGTGACATCCGTTTACAGGCAAGTAAATGCTGCATTTTTCTAAAAGTATAACAAGAATTCAACGGAAGTGGATGTGTCGCCTGCGCAGGAAGCTGGGAGATTACGAAGAAATAGATACACTTTTCATTTCAAGAAATAATGTTAAAAGTAAGCAATAATCATAGATTATGTTTTTGGATGGCATCATTTTGTTATATAATCTGTTATTCTAGGAAGAATTTAAGGAACTTGCTATGGATACTCATTGTCTCAATTCCAAGTTTAATTTGTATGATTTATCGGATGGTTTCCAATAAATAAATGAATAAACTTGTGGATTATGATGTGAAACAGCAGTGTTGTCAATAACATTTGGAGTAAGACGGCATTTCAGAGGTATACACGGTGGGTCAAGTGGTAGGTCGAAGCCGTCCAGTATACAGTTTTAGTGAACTTTCTATTTATAGTAACAGATACCTTGACCTTTGACCTGCGGACCTGAAAAGCAATCCCAAGCAAGCACTTTTGGTAAGGAAGCACTGCATGAAGTTTGAGTTTGATCGGCCCATGGAAACTCAAGTTATCGCACGAAAACAGATTTTCTATTTAGAGTAACAGTGACCTTGACCTTTGGACCTGAAAAGCAATCCCAAGCAAGCCCTTTTGATAAGGAAGCACTGCATGAAGTTTGAGTTTGATCGGCCCAAGGAAACTCAAGTTATCGCACGAAAACCTCTGTTCGGACGCCGCCGCCGACAAAGCAACATCTATGTGTCACAAGCTTTTCGCAGGCGACACAAAAAGTTGAGAAATATCTTCCCAATTTCAATAAAAACAATGCTACATTTTCTCAAATCATGTAGAAACACACTGTTCTAAAATTTAAGTAGATGTTTAAAGTTAATACTGAAATCTACGGCATTCTTTCATTAGTGTATATATACAATGATTTTTAGATGTTATCTCTGAAGATTTTTCCCGTATGTTACCTTAAAGGGACCGCAGAACCAAATGATTTTCCATAGACGATAGTGTTAACGTTTACCACTGCCCTGGTTAAATGGGGTTATCCACACTGGTCACCTGCCCTCATTTTGAAGAATGTCATCTTACACACCTGTAAAAAAAAAAAAAAAAAAGCTACCTATTTGAACTTTTTTTATATGGGGGCCGCCATTTCGTATTGAACTCAGCACCAAACAAGAGGCCCATGGGCCTTAACGGTCACCTGAGTCTACAGTATTTTTGTTTGTTTGTTGAAATATGTACCAATTTGAGTAAAAAATAGTATAATGTTAACTTAACTTTGTCAGGACCATGAGCTGATCATTCCTAGACCAATTTTAAGTGAGATCGGCCTATTAGAATTTAGTAGCAAAATAGCGGCCATGGCAGCCAAATTGTATTTCTGATTGACCCGAAAAATAACAACACTTTGTCAGGACCATG